GGATCAAGCCCCACATTGGGTTCTCTGCTCAGCGGGAAGCCTGCTTCCCCCTCTCTCTCTACATGCCTCTGCCTACTTGTGATCTCTCTCTGTCAAATAAATAAATAAAATCTTTAAAAAAAAAGATTAAAAAAAAAAGAATGCTGTTTTTCATCTCTAGTTGCTCAGTTTTCCTTCCCGCCCCCAGACTTGCCTGTTTATTCCCGATGGTCCCTTTGTTGCCTGCCCCGTAGCACAGCTGTGCTCTCTGACAATTCTAGCACCTGCTGTGCGTCGTATCTGCTGACTCCCATTGTCAGTGGCCTGCCTTTTCGTGTGTTTTGTGATCTTGGTGTGTGAGCTCAGGACTTGATCCCAACCTGAGGAAGTTCCCGCCTCGGGAGGGGAAGTCTTCTTCCAGAGAGGTCTTGCTTCTACTTCTGCTGGGAGCCAAAGGGCACCAATCACCAGAGACCAGAGATCACCAGAGCCCTCTAGAAGAAAGGGGTGGCACTGCTGTGTCGCTACCAAGCTTGGGGCCTGTGGCGGGGGCTCACCACTCCCGGGTATCGGTTCCTCATCACAGGCCCAGGCTGTGGAGCCACAGTAGCATGGCCCTCCTACTACCTTTCTGGCCTCAGTTTCTCCCTTTTTGTGGACCTCCCCTGCTTCTTTGAGGTCCACCAGTGCCTCAAAAGTGTATCCTCCGGGGACAGGATTGCTTTCTAGTGGGAGGGCCCTCCCAAGCTCCTCATCCATTAACGCACGAGAAACTGAAGTCAGAGTGAATGTTCACGGAGCTTTGACTCCATGCCCCATACTCTTCTAAGCAGCTCATACGAGTGGGGTCCCTCCAACCTCATAGTAGCCCCCCCACCAGGTGGATACTGTCATTATGCACGTTGTACAGACATGGTACCAGGGCACGGGGCGGCTAAGTGACACAGCTGGTCCTTGCACAGCTGGCGCAGAGTGGAGCAGGACGTCAGAGCCTGGCTTCCGGCTCCGGGGTCTGCACCAGCACACTGTGCATCCCGTCAGGATTCGTGTGCATGTTTGCGTGTGAGACCGTGTGTGTGACTAAACGCCAGCAGGTGTGTGTGCCTAGGCCGGAGCGGCTGCTCGGTGCCCACAGATGTGAAGGTCACTGCGTGTGACTGTTCACTCTGACCTTACCTTCTCAGCGTGGCCATCTCTGACCACCCCATTTAGAATTGATATTCCCCTGCTTGTTCTTCCTCAGTAACAGCCAGTAACTCTCTCACACACAATACAGTCTACTTTTGCTTATATCTGCTCCCCCCTTGGAAGCCGAGCCCACCCTGACTGCTGTGGGAACACGCTGTAGGCAGGGGGAGTGCGGCCAGGGCCCATGTAGGAGGCTCCTGCCCTAGTCCTGGCCAAGGGGGTGGTGCCTTGGGCTAGCGTGCTTAGTGGCACTCTAAGGGTTGAATTCAGGACCTGTTTTGAATGTGGAGCAATCAGGATTTACTCGTGGTTTGGATGGTACAGCATAAGGGAGTGAGAGAGGTCAAGGGTGACTCATTTTGTCATCTGGGCGAGTGGGTGAGTGTGGGAGGGGAACACTGGAAAAGAGTCAGATGTGGGGGACGGGAAGTGAGAGCTCAGTGTTGGGTCTGTTAAGTGTGTGATGCCAGTTAGCTCCCCGAGTGGAAAGGGAGAGGACCCTGGGATAGGAATCTGGAGTTCAGAGGCTGCGGATGAAAATGTGGGAGTCATTGGCTTACTGATGCTAATTAACTCCATAAAACTGGGTGAGATCTCTAAGGGAGTGAATGAGATAGAGAAGACCAAGAAGTTCTAGGGCAGGGGGGGTTGGATTGGGAAAGGCTATTGCTGTGGGCTAAGAAAAAGATAAAGTCTGTACCAGGGAGGCAGCCATGGGCACTGAGCAGGGAGCAGGTCGTCGAAAAGTATGGATAGGAGCGCCTGGCTGGCTCAGTCTGTAGAGTGTGCAACTCTTGATCTCAGGGTTGTGAGTTTGAGACACATGTTGGGCACAGAGATTACTTAAAAAAAAAAAAGTATGGATAAAAAACTTGGCAGGATATGAAGCCATGTCCTCTCCACAGCCTTCCCTGACAACTGTCTCCTGCTAGGTGTCCCTTCGGGTTGCTCCCATGGTTCCTTATGTCCACGTGGCATGAGGGTGGTCAGCTTCCCCCAAGTTCTGAAGAAGCAGAATCAAATGTTCATCTCTTGTCCCTCGTCCCCTATGCAGAGGACAGGGCCAGCAACTGTTAGACGGATGGATAAGGGAGTGAATGAGTGCCACACTCCCTTCTCCTCTCCCAGCTCCTATAAAGGAACCAAAAAAGGTGACGCCCAAATCAGTCCTCCCTACAGTCAAGAAGCTGGTGACAGCCCCCCCTAGGCCCAGCAAAGCCAAGTAAGGAGCAGGGTTGGGGGGGTGGGGAAGGAGGAGAGTACAAAGGAAATGCTGCTCCCTGTTGCCCACCTCCTGGTCTGATGGGGATATGTTCCAGGCCTTCTTGGACACCCAGCGGAGACAGTCAGAAGCGCCCCTCCCGAGACTTGGGTAGGTCTCCTTGCCTCCCTCTGGTGGGAAGGATTGGGGGACCGGGATAGGGTGGCTGTGCTGAAGGACAGAGACGGGGAGAGACTTGGGGTCAGAGGAGCCTGGACCCCTGAGGTTCTGCTCTCACAGGCTCCGGTGGCGGCTTCCTCAGCGGGGGTCCAGGCCACCCTGGTAGAAAGGGACCAAAAACCCAGGCTTCCCGGCAGCGCTCTGCAACCAGTCAGGTAAGAGGTCCTGAGACACCGGGACCACCGACAGAGTCCGGTTCCCATATCCCTGGGATATGTGAGGGGGGAAGGATCCCAGGCCAAGGGGAACCTGACTCAAACTGTCAAGCTACCCATCCCTCAGCTGAGCCCTCACCCCCGTCACCACAGGAGGAAGAGCAGAGCAGCCTAGCGAAGGCCTCTCCTGTGAATAAAACTCCCATTCTGGACAAGACCCCCAGCCCAGAGAAGACTCTGTCTCCAGATAAGGCCCCCACTCCAGAGGAAACCCTGACTCCAGATAAGGTCCCCGTCTCAGAGGGGGCCCTGACTCTAGAGTTCAAGGCCCCAGCCCTAGGGAACCCCACCCCACAGGAGGGCCTGACTCTAGACAAGGCCCCCAGCCCAGACAGCCTCATTTCTGTGGATGCGACCCCTGCCCCAGAAGTCCCACCAGAGGATGAACTCCTTGACCCAAAGATGGTCCCTCCTGGGGATGAGGTGCCCACCCTGGAAAAGGTCTTGACTCCTGAGCAGGTGCTCTCTGAAGAGGCCTCCACTAGAGACAACACTCAATTCCATCACTTCTCTCCGGAGCAAGCCCTGCCGAAGTTCACGTCTCCTGTGGCCAATGAGGCTCGATCCCAAGAGGTCCACATGCCAGAGAAGGCCGATCTCTGCATGAATGCACACCCTCTTGATCAGAGCGACGGCTCCCCATTCCAGTCTAAGTCCAAGCCAGGGTCCATGCCTGCCCTTGAGAAGGCTACAACCCTCCTCCAGGAGGCACCTGGGAAGCATGAGGGTACCCCAGAAGAGGCAGCACTCCCCAAACAGGAGGTGGCCCCCAAAGAGGTAGACCCTGCTCAAAAGAATCCTCATTCTATCAAGTCGACTCCAGACCCCCAAGAGACTCCCACCCCACTTTCCCTGGTTCCGCAAAATCTCACGGACAGCGAAAGTGACAGAGGCGATATCATGAGGCTACAGGACGAGATGGAATCTTTAAGGAGGTCGCTGGAGCGGATGGGGGTGCAGCTGGAGTAAGTGGGGAGGAGGGAGGAGCGGGGTCAGGAAGGGGGCCGGTGGCTCTAAGCCTGCCCAGCCCACCCCTCCCCCTCGACCTCCCGTCTGCAGGAGGAAGCTGACGGACATCTGGGAGGAGCTGAAGAGCGAGAAGGAAAAGCGCCGGCTGCTGGAGGTGGGTGGGGTGCGTGTCTTAGGGGGCTGGAGGCTGACCCTCCCCTGAAGGCCTGTCCTGACGCCCTCTCCCGATTAGGTGCAGATGAAGCAGGGGACTCGGGAGTCGGGGACCCAGGGCTCCATCCACGCGCAGACGCAGACGCACTGAGCGTGGGCCCGGCAGGGACCATGGCGGGACCTGGGAGCAAGTCACCTCCGGCCACCCACGTCCTTGCACACGACTTTGAGAAACGCAAGAAAGTAAACCGCAGTGTACGCGCTCGCCGCGCCTGCCTTGTCCGTGCGGGGGCGGGGCCTGCGTGGCGGGGGCGGGGCCTGCCGGGCGCTCCCGGCCCTCCGCATTCCGGACGGTTTCTCCCGGGCACATCTGGCCAACATGTGGCTCCCATTACCGATCCCAAGGCCTCCGCGCGGCTATTTTTATCCACCGGATGGCGGGGGCGGGTGGGGGGTGTCTCCTTCGGACGTCTGCCGGGTGCTGGAGAAATGGCCGGCAGGAGGGGCCCAGGCGGGGTCGGGCTCTGCCCGCGGGCCCGGATTCCGGAATCCAGCTGTGCGCCAGAGGAGGAGGGCGGGCCTGCTCTGGAGCCGGGACCCCTCCCAATTGGCCCCATAGTTCGCTCGGAAGAACTCGCTGTAACGCTTCTCTGCTCGGAGCCCCGCTCAGGCACACACGGTTAACACGGGCTAATAGTGCCTCAGGATCAAGGGCAGGGTCCCGGGGCCTGTGTGTGTGTGTGTAGTGATGCAGGATCCTAGGGGCAAAGTGCGCCCAGGCCTTCGCCTGGGAAGGAATGCATTTGTGAGGAAGGAATGCGAGTGATAACTTGTTCTGTGCATGAGGCTGTGAGGTGGTGGAGAGAGGTTTTTTTTTTTTTTTTTTTTTTTTTTCAGTCTGTGAACTGAATGCAAGCATGTATGCTCAGGTGTTGGGTGGGTTGATGGAGGTGGTCAGCCTGGTTAAAAGAGTCGAGTAGTGTCTCAATCTGGGTCCCCCTGCATGGCAGGAGCCTGGAGGACGTTGGGGACAGAAGTAAGAGAGGGAGACTGAGTCACTGAGAATGCAGTTTTCATTGGTCACTTATCTCTTAACCGATCGCAGGAGAAGGGCTGGGAACCCTGTGCCCTGTCCTCCTCCCCCGCGGGCTTTCTGGCAGGACTGGGGATCTCAGAAGGTGGGGGTCCAGGTCCAATGGCACTGGGGAGCCGTGGGGGCGGGGCCTCCATAGCACCGTGGGCAGGGGCAGTCCCAATGTCCTGGGGCAGCTGTGAGTTCCTGCGCATGTCCAGTACGCAGAGCCCCTTGAAGCGGGAAAGGGCCGGTCAGTAATAGTGCATGCGACCCAGGGTGCCTGTGGCCGTGGGGCTGGGCCCCAGCGTGCCAGTGCCCAGCAGGTCCGGCTGCCCAGTGCGCCAAATCTCCCTTAGGATCCGTTCCCGCTCCTCCAAGCGCTGCGCCCGCTCCAGCTCCTCTGCCGACGTGAAGACGTTTACGCTCAGCGGCCCGTCTGGCTCAGCCGTCAGCTCTGGGCCCTGCAGCGTGTCGTCGGGGCCCAGCCGCGTCATCGTGTCCTCCTCCTCGTCCTCGTCGTCCTCGGGTTCGAGGGTGCTGCTGCGGGGGTCCCGGCGCGGAGCAGGGGCCCGGGGCCGCGGGCGGGGAGCGCAGGAGATACTGATGACTAGTAGGCACAGCGTTAGCAGCAGGCCAAAGCAGACTCCCAACACGAAGTAGAGGCCAAAGCTCTCGGGGTTAGCTGGGGGATCAGAGGGCAGAAGTCATGGAGGAGCCCTGCCTCCCTGGCGGGTGGGAGTTATCCCACTGCGGAAGGACTCCAGTGTCGAAGTTTGGAGGGCAAGGGCAGTCCTCCTTATTTGAAAGACATTAGGTAGCCGCCATCAGTCAGCGAGGGACGGGGAGGATGGGGCTGGGAGGTGGGGAGGGAAGGGGAGTGGGGCCTCAGAGGGGCAGGGAGGGGCCCATGCCCCCCGGGGCCCGCCCTCACCGCGGATGTGCGCGTAGGCCGCCAGGCTGTTGCTCAGCAACTCCATGTCCCTCCGTGGGGCATCCATGCTGCTCTGGGGGCGGATGGGCAAGCCCCCCGTCAGCCTGCGGGGTCAACAAGGTCAGATCCCAATCCCCAGCCCGGAGCTGATCCTGACCCCACCTCCTCCGGGTAGCTCCCCTCGCTGGAAGAGCAGCCCCGGGGTCCAAACTGGAGACAGCAGCTCTCTAACTTTGTTACAGACCTGGGCCCTGCCTGGGAGATCCTTTCCCTGGACGCAGACGTCCCTCCAACTTGAGGGGTCAGGGAAGTGGGCCGCAGGAGGCTCCGCCCCCTTGTGGGGTCCCCAAATGACGCCCGGTTTCGCCGTCCCGGTAGTGGGATGGAGGAGCGAGACGCGAGTGCCTTTTCCACTCCCAGGGCGGGCTCCAGAGGCGAAGCCGCCTCCCTCTCCCCTCCAGCCCGCCCCGCCGGGACCCACCGGCCCAAAGGCCGGGGCTCACTCACCGTCAGCACCCCGCTTCCCCGCTGCCGGCCCCGGCGCGTCCGGCGGCCGCATACACCCAAGACCCGGCCGCTCCCGCCCCGTCCGGTCCCAGCTTCCCCGCCTGCCCGGCTCGGCTCCCAGGCCGCGGCAGCGCGGGCCGGACACGGGCCGATGGACCAGCCGGCCGAAAGTTTCCTCGGAGGAAAGAGGAGGAGCGGGGCGGGGCGGGGCGGGGGGGAGGCGGGGAGGAAAAGGGCCGGGAGAGGAAGGGGAGAGGAGCGAGCGACTGGGAGGAGGGGGAGCGCGGCCGGCGGGGCCGTCTGCTCTCCCACAGGAAACCGCTGGGGAGGCTGGTGGCAGGGTCCCGCCCCCAAGCTACTAATAACAAAAATAATGAAGTTTTGCCTATGTCTCTCTCTCTGTGTGTGTGTATGTATGTGCCCTTTGTAATATTCTTTCATTTAATTCTAACAATCCTATAAAGTGAGTACCATTGTCGCCACTTGGCAGATAAGTAAACCGAGTCACGGAGATTGAATAACTTGACTAAAGGATCAGTATTTGAACCCAGTGCTCTTGGCCCCTAGAGCCCGGGGCTCTTAACCTCTTCTCTACACCTTGCTCTTCTTCCCAGAAGGCCCTCTCACCCAGGAAGTCTGCCCCTCTTCTGCAGTACTCCCCCAGATCGTGAGTTTACAACAGAGGGGGCTCCGGCTGGGAGAGCACGTCCAGCTGGCAGAACTTCTGTCACACGGGGTTAATGAATGTTGGGCTGGAGCTTGGAGCGGGGAGCAGGTCAGCCTTGCCCAACCCGCCTGGAGGTTCTGCTGGCTCTGTGCTCTTCTGCACCAGAGCCTGCCCGGGAGATGCATTTTGTCCTGGCTCAACCTGCGCCTGTGCTCGCCTGCGTTTCCACCTGGGCTCCGCTTGTGCGCGCCATGTGTTGTGTGATCCATGTGTGCGGCCTGGGTCGTCTTCCTGCTCAGACTGTCAGCAACCCCCCCTTCTGGGCCCCCCTTCCTGGGCTGGGGCTTGGGTGAGGGGGAGGCCTTCTTGGCGGGAGCCTCAGAGAGGAGGAGGGAAGGAAGGGGGAGAGGAAATTGCAGACATAGCTGAAGGCGCGGCCTGAGGCCTGTGGGCCGGTGACCCCCCTGTCTGTCCAGGCTAGAGACCCCCCATCCCCAGTCCTGAGACTGGGTTCAAGCAGGGGGCAGATCTAGATGGAGAAAGGACAGACGGGCTCCCACGGAGATGGGAAAGGACTCCTGGCTGTCTTTCTGACTGTTGAGTCTGTTTTGTGAGCGTGTGTGCAGGCATTTCTGCCTCTATTTGTGTATTTGTGTGTGTCTTTCCTGTTTATCTGCTTGCGCATTTGGGGGGGAGGGCGGGTACTGCTGCATGCAAACCCCTGCAGCTGCTGGTCAGCAAATGCTCCGTCCTGGGAATGGGGAGGAGCTCCTGGGAATGGGGTTTTGGGGGGGGGGAAACAGGACAGACACAAACCCCTGCCCTCATGGAGCTGGCTCCCGGTGGAGAGACAACCATTCCATGAAGAAGGTAGCCTCGGTGCTGCTGAGGCTCGGAGCGATGGAGCGCACCTGCTGGCCGCTCTTCCGGGCGCGTGGGAGGGGACACCCGAATCCTGCCGCGTGGGGCTCGGCGAGAGCTGCGGCAGGAGTCACCAGGCCTCGAAGCCAGAGGGCCTTGGGGCGCCTCTCTCCCGGGTGCAGCGGAGGGGGCGTGGGGGCCCCCCCGCGGGGGACTTCGGACGTTACTGTCCATGTGGCGGGGAACCTGAGAGTCTGGGGGGTTGGGGGTAGCGTCACGGTTCATGACGGACTGTGGAGAGACCCCGGTGGGGACCCGGGGCAGCACGGGCAGCCGCGGGGCGGGCATGGGAGCCCGGAGAGCGGCGAGGGCCGCAGCTGTGCGGGCAGGCGGCGCCCAGGGCTGGGTCCAGGAAGTGCCGCTGTCCAGGTGAGGCGGGGTCACCTTTCGAGGCGATGTCAACGATTCCCGCCTTGCCTGAGGCTGTGAGGGAAAGAGGACGTAGACCACTGCTTGACGCTGGGCCGGAGCACCTGAGGGAAGCGTATGTGGGGTGCAGGTTTTGAGGGGTGGTCAGAGTTGCCTTTGAGATGATTTGAGATGTGCGTTAGATACCCGGGGGAGGTGTCAGGCAGGGGAGCTTGGGAGGAGTCTGGGCTCGACATGAGTTTGGGAGCCCTCGGCGCAGAAGATGGATGGAACTCCCTGGGAGTGGGTGAGATCATCTGTGGGGCGGGGAGGGAGGAGAAGCCGCTGAAGCCCGAGCTCTGCTTGCGCAACCTTGAGGGTTCTCGTGGGGGAGGAGTCAGGAGATCGCGGGGGCGGGGTCAGGGTGGAGAAGGTGTGGGGAGACACCCTTGAGGTGGGAGGAAGAGCCGGCTGGGCATCACACTGAGCAGACAGGTGGACGTCCGGCCAGAATCTAACCACTGGCCGTGGTATCAGTGGGTTTCCAAGAGCGCGTGGGTTCACTGGAGGCCTTCCATCCATGGGAATGTTGGTGTGTGCTGCAGCTGTCCTCCACCGACCTTGTGTCTTGAGGATGTTGGTCTGAGTCCCTAGGGCGCCCACCTGCGTCTTCCCGAGGGGCCACGTGCACGCCTCTCCTCATTCACGAGAGCACACCAGGTTTGGGATCCGTTCGTGTTTAGCTATTGCGGTGCTATGTGGACCTCTGGGTATGGCTGAGCTGCTGACACAGGTGTCTGTGCCTTGGTGTGTGACTCAGCCCTGGTGAAGCTGGTGGCCATGCTGAGCAGAGTGGGGGCTGAGATGCTTCCTGGTCCCTTCAGGGACTGGGGTGTACAGGGTACCCAGAGTGTTGCCTTCCTCTAGGGAGATGCATGGGGCCAAGCTAGGCTGGGTGGAAGGAATAGCAGCCTTGCCCTGGAGGGTTCTGAAGAAGCTGAGGGCTACTCCTGGAGGCCCGGGGGAATGTGCCTTTGGCCCAGGTGGGCCGTCCCCACAGCCTCATACCCTCCTGACCACTTGCCTGTCTGCTTTTCTGCCTTCCTCGCTCTGCCCGCCCTGCCCTCCCTGCGCACCAGCCAGTCTGTAGGTGTTCCCAGCCACCTGCTTTCCGGTTGTACTGGCTGGCACCTCTGCATATCTGTCACTCGCTGGCCTGGCTTGCATCCCATCTCTCTACCTGCTGATTTCCTCCCTGTCTGCCAGCCTATGACTGACCTGCTGCCTGTCCACCTGCCCACTGGCTAGCTGCCTCTCTGCTCTCCTGTCAGCCTGTGAGACTAGAGATTTGTCACCTTGGGAGGCACAGAGAGTGATCCTAGGATGAAACTCAGGAAAGACAGATCTTTTTTATTTTTTAAATTTTTAAAAATATATTTATTTATTTGACAGAGAGAGAGAGAGAGAGAACACAAGCAGGGGAAGCAGCAGAGGGAGAGGGAGAAGGAGGCTCTCCGCGGAGCAGGTTGCCCAATGCAGGGCTTAATCCTAGGACCCTGGGATCACGACCTGAGCCGAAGGCAGATGCTTAACCCACTGAGCCACCCAGGCGCCCCAAGACAGGTCTTTTTTAATGAAACAAGTTAAGACAGGTCTTTGATGGGAGTTCAGGGGGCTGAGGGATCCAGGGCCTCTAGGAGGGCTCTCAGGGGGGCTGGCATATTCAGGGCCCAATGCAAAACCCTACTCTGCTCCCTTCCTCTGTGGTCAAGCTGGGGGTCTGTTCCTGACACTAGGGCTCCCCACTGAGGGGTTCAGGGGCTGACTAGGTCTTAGATGGAGGGAAGAAGGCAACCCATTCATGGCCTCCTTGGACCTGCCCAGTCCTCTGAATACTCCTCAGGCCCGGGGACAGCTGCTGGGAAGAAGCCACAGTGACATTTATAGAATGAACAATAAATGGATATTGAGTGCCTTCCTGGCACCTGGTACTTGGTTGGCTACGTGCTACGTGCGCTTCACCTTCAGATCCTCCCAGTGACCCTATGCAGTTTGTAACGGGACTGGGACTCCATCTAACGCGGAGGGCAGCAAGGCTCAGGTGAAGCCTGTCTGTGTGGTCACGTGGCTTTACGGGGCGGGGCCTAGATTTGAACCTTTGAGCCTCTGCTCCCAACCAATCTTCCACTGGGCCGTTCTAGGTCACGGTTCCCCACCCAGTCAGACCCAAAGCTGCCTTTTCATGATACTCTGTATGGATCCTTTAATGCTCCTGAAGTGAAATTAATGCTAATATGCCCACCTCCATGTCTGATTAAAAATATAAAGAAAGAAAAGGTAACAGATATGGTCGAAGTGGTCACTTGCTTGGAACGTGACAGCTCCGAGTGCAGACTGGTGTTGGGACATTGTGGTCATGACCGTTTTGGAAATGGCGAGGAGCTCTTGGTAAAGTTCTGAACGACACGGAGTACAGATTCCCTCCACTTCACACGGTCGTTGCATTTCCCGAAGGTTCCATGTACATTATGTGTCCACCAGTCCTTTGTGTTTATGTATAAAAGGGAGATAGATTCTTGGCTCTGGTCACTGTAAACATGTTTTCACTCACGTCATGCAGGATGTAGAATCTGCCTTCCTTGTGGGGCTGTCTCTGGCTCCCACCCTCTGCCAGCGGCACCCTCATCATTCTGATGAACCCTCCCACATGGACATGCACAAAAGAAGCCTGCCCTCTGGGGCGTCTGGGTGGCTCAGTGGGTTAAGCTGCTGCCTTCGGCTCAGGTCATGATCTCAGGGTCCTGGGATCGAGCCCCGCATCGGGCTCTCTGCTCAGCAGGGAGCCTGCTTCCTCCTCTCTCTCTGCCTGCTTGTGATCTCTGTCAAATAAATAAATTAAATCTTAAAAAAAAAAAAAAAGCCTGCCCTCATCTGAGTAGGGAAGGCAGATAGGATCAATAATCAGACATATGGTATCCTACGAGGCTGTGGTAAGCACAATGAAGAAACATAAAGTGGAAACCTTAAGGGGTTAGAGAACGCCAGGTGTTCACGGACAGCCTCTCTGAGGTGACATTTTGAGCAGAGGGAAGTCAGGGAGGCAGCCATGCAAATATCTAGGGGAAGAGCCTTCCAGAAATAATAGCCCACGCAATGGCCTTGAGGTGGAAGCCTGCTTGGCTCCCTTAGGATCAGCAAGGAGCCCAGTGTGCCTGGCACGGGGAGTGAGGAGGGGTGAGGGGCCCACAAGCTAG